TTATGCATCTTTGGAACACACGTTGTGATACTGAAGACCTTTTCATCCCTAAAGCCTGGGCTAGTGGGGCATCCACTTGCACCTGTAAACTCCCTCAGTGTGTAAACATTGGGTTTGAACTGGAAGAGATCCTAGACCACTACGGATGACTCATGCAGATACTAAACACAGAGCGAACATAAAAAACAAAGCCAGTTTCCACTACAACACTACAGAATTCTCCGCTTTGTGGCAGTTTCATAAGTAAGTCATGTGGCATAAAGCCTATTCGCCTTTCTTTCAAATCACGGGACTTAATACACCCCGTGCTCCTCAAAAGTTAAATAAGAATGGTTTACCTGCAGGATGTGAAAATAAAGCACAGTTGCCCAGAGAGCCCATAACAGAACAATCCATTCCAACACCAACCCATAACACAGCATCTCATCATAGAACATATTTCTAATACTGCATGCTATGACAGCACCTCATTATGGAACCTGATTGCAACAAAACAAACCCACAATGCACCATCACATTCAAGGACCCTGCCCCTCATACAGCATCCCATTACAAACCCCTCCCCCGCATAGTGACATCCCATTATAAATCCCATTCGTAATGCAGCATCTTGTTAGAGAACAAACCCGATGTAGGGCACATCTGGCACAGAAGCTACCGAATTATTTAATCAAGTGGAGAAGTCATCCCTATGGTTCATGAGACTTACCTTTTCTACGAGTCCCCTTGGAATGAGAGGCTGGTCCTTTGGAAGATTTGCAAAAGAAAACACAATCAAAATAACAAATTTTCTCCATGTCACTAATGAAAACCATTTTAAAAACTGTGTTTCCTATAATTTCATGCTGCTAAATGTACATTGTAGTAACAAAAATGGAACATAGATTCACCCATACAAACTTGCAAACCATGAATACATGTGAACATGTGAAAGTTATTTACTGACATGGTCTGTGTCTGAATTCTTTTTCGGAGTAAGATGTAACTCAAGGTGCTCATTGCCATTTATCTCAGTCATATTCATATTTAAAGTAAATGTTACATTAGATTTTATTCCAGATAGCCACTTGGTAGTACAGAACTTGAACGTTGCTGAAAAAGACATATTTTGTCAAAGCAATTTGCAAGAATACCAAGATAAGGAAAAACTGCCATTTATACTGTGATAGAGGACAGTGCTGAATGGTAGAGGCATTGCCATAAAGAATGTACCAGTTAATGATGACTGACAGTTAATTGCCAAGCTTTGATTAAATTTTAAATTTTAACTGTGATTAGTCAGAGAAATTAACCAGTAAATGGTAGTCCTCGATGTTGCTGAGTTGAAACAGAGGCAGTGTAAGTACATGTTCTTTCTGTCTGCAAAGGGTAAGATATTTCAACAGTTTGATCAATAGAGTCATAGGAATTGAAGTTAGCTGTTTCACGCTGCTATTACGTATTAGCACCACATGTGGCATTTACCATTAATAGGATACTGCCATCAAATCTAGAAGATTTTCTACCCATCAAACAAATGAGTAATACAGAATAAGAATTTCAGTGCTTGTATGATGCTAGACATGTAGGCCTTACCCAAAGACCGGTGGATTGTATCAAACAGCATATCCCTTCAGCTCTTCGCAACAAACAAGGATACTAACTGTGCTAAACCAGCCCATGCTTGCAAAACTTACAATACAGCATGCAACGTCAGATGTGACTCTGAAAGTAGTTAACATTCACTGCATAACCCAGAGTGTGCAGAGAACCATGCTAACACCAAATTTTAGGTGTGTCAGTTGGGCTCACAGTGTGGTGTGCTTGCATGTGTTGGAAGCTACATATATTAGTACAGAGGGCCCCGCTATCTACAAACAGAAAGAACATGTACACACATTCTGCCTGTTTCAACTCAACAAAATAGGTGACTGACATTTGCTACAGCAATCAGAGTCAATCTGCCTGATTTAAAATTTAAATATACCATGGCACTTAACTGTCATCATTAATTGGTGCATTCGCTATAGTATTACCTCTACCAGAGTCTACTTGCCAACAAATCAGTACTGTCCTCACATGCAGCATAAATGTTAGTTTCTCCTTATTGGTATTCTTGTAAAATGTCCTTGCGTGCAAGGTGAAAATCTTTGACAAAATGTATTTTTTTTTCTAGCAAGACTCACATTCTATTCTATTTTGTTTTTCCAAACAATTTCAAAATTGGCCAAAGTCAGGAATTGAAATGCATTTTTAAGGCCTAAGTTTCAGGGACAGAGAAGAAGAATAAGAGACTCACTCAATAGTCTAAGTGCACTTCTATCTTCCTGCAGATTGCTGTAGCAAAAAATAATTTTGTGACTCGGATGTTACTGAAAAAAGGACCCATGTCACTGAAGCTTTTCCGCGTGCACTCATAAGGACAATCAAACAAACGTCAAATTTCAAATCAGCTCAACAATCAGCTCCACAGGAAAAAAGGCTTTTGATTGGCTGAGGAGCTGCCAAGAAGAAATGAGTGGGGAACTATAGGCTCCCCATCTCCTGGGTAATTCAGAAAAGGTGCAAGGCTCGAACATATTCCTTTCCTCATGGCAATGCCTCAGCTAAAGTTAACACGTCACCCAATCAGCAATGTTTCTGATGCAGTTTAAATTGTTAAGATCATCTGAAATGTTGCGTTGTGTAATCTGAGGAGTTCAAGATAAAGAGGCTCAAAAAACTGTCACTTTTCATCGTTAGTCAAGTGCTGTACTATCGAGTGACCATTCTGAGAGAAGTACTTGAACCAACCATCAGGCATAACAGAGTTTTACGGCACAGAAACGGGCCCTTCATTCCTAGTCATCTGCACTAACCAGATCTAGTCCCATTTTCTAGCACTTCACCCAAATTCTATTAAACCTTTCCTATTCGTGTACCCATCCAGGTGCCTTTTAAACTGTACCAGGCTCCACCACTTCCTCTGGCAGCTCATTCCATACACGCACCACCCTCTGCATGAAAAAGCTGCCCATCGAGTCCCTTTTAAATCTTTCCTCTCTCACCTTAAACCTATGCTCTTTAGTTTTCGACACCCCTACCTGGGAAAAGGAGCTTGGCTATTTATCCTATCCATTCCCCTCATGATCTTATAAACCTGTATAAGGTCACTCCTCAGCCTCTGGCGCTCCAGGGTAAAACATGTCCCAACGTATTCAGCTTCTCTCAATAGCTCAAACCCTTCAATGGCTGATCATGCAATCTCAGTACCCCACTCCCACTCTGTCTCCATATCCCTTGTTCCCTTTAGCTGCAAAGGCCACGTACAGCTCCCTCTTGAATATATCTAATGAACTCGCCCCAACAGCTTCCTGTGGGAGAGAATTCCACAGTTTCACAACTCTCTAGGTGACGAAATTCCTCCTCATCTCAGTCCTGAATGGCTTACCCCTTATTCTTAGACTGGTACACTTTGTTCTGGACTTCCCCAACATCGGGAACATTCTTCCCGCATCTAGCCTGTCCAGTCCCATCAGGATTTTATATGTTTCTATGAGATCCCCCCTCTCATTCAAAATTCCAGCGAGTACAAGCCCAGTTGATCCAGTCTTTCTTCCTATGTCAGTCCTGCCATCCCGGGAATCAGTGTGGTGAACCTTTGCTGGACTCCCTCAATAGCAAGAATGTCCTTCCTCAGACTAAGAGACCAAAACTGCACACAATACTCAAAGTGTGGCCTCACCAAGGCCCTGTGTAACTGCAGCAAGACATCCTTACTCCGATACTCAAATCCTCTCGCCATGAAGGCCAGCATGCCATTAGCTTTCCTCACTGCCTGCTGCACCTGCATGCCAACCTTCAGCAACTGTTCCACCATGACACCCAGGTCTCGCTACACCTCACCTTTTCCTAAACTGCCACCATTCAGATAATAACCTGCCTTCCTGTTTTTGCGACCAAAGTGGATAACCTCACATTTATGCATATTACATTGCATTTGCCAAATATATGCCCACTCAGCCAGTCTGTCCAAGTCACTCTGCAGCCTCTTAGCATTCTTCTCACAGCACACACTGCTACCCAGTTTAATGTCATCTATAAATTTGGAGATATTGCATTCAAATCCTTTGTCCAAATCATTAATGTACATTGTGAACAGCTGGGGTCCCAGCACTGAACCCTGTGGCACCCCACTCATCACTGCCTGTCACTCTGAAAAGGACCCGTTTATTTCAACTCTATGTTTCCTGTCTGCCAACCAGTTCTCTATCCATGTCAACACATTACCTCCATTACCATGAGCTTTAATTTTCTTTACTAATCTCTTGTGTGGAACCTTGTCAAAAACGTTTTGAAAGTCCAGATACACATCTACTGATTCACCCTTGTCTACTCTACTGGTCACATTCTCAAAAAATTCCAGACGATTTGTCAAGCATGATTTCCCTTTAGTGAATCCATGCGGACCAGGACCGATTCTGTCCCTGCTTTCCAAATGCTCAGTTATTACATTCTTAATGATTGACTCCAGCATTTTCCCCACCATCCACCCCAATGTCAGACCAACCGGCTTATAATTCACCATTTTCCCTCTCCCTCCATTTTTAAAGAGTGGATTTTTTTTATATTACCTACCCTCTAGTCCATTGAAACCCTTGTCAATACAGTGTGGAGCTGCAGGAACACAGCAGGTCAGGCAGCATCAGAAGAGCAGGAAATGTCGACTTACCTGCTGCTTTGACGCTGCCTGACCAGCTGTGTTCCTCCAGCTCCACACTGTATTGACTCTGACTCCAGCATCTGCAGTTCTTGCTATCTCCATTGGAACGCTTCCAGAGTCTACAGAATGCTTGAAAATGATCATCAAAGCATCCACTTTTTTTAGGGCCACTTCCTTAAGTACTCTGAGATGCATAGCATCAGGCCCTGGGGACTTATCGGATTTTAACCCCATCAATTTCCCCAACACCATTTTCTGACTAACAAGGATTTCTTTATTAGTGATGGCAAAAGATGCTGGTCTTGCCAGCAAAGCCCACATCCCATGAAGGAGTAAACATTAAAAAGTAAATTGCGGAAGAGTAAGGGTGTGCCAACTTACAGCCCCAGCAGTGGCAAATGCAAAGAAAACCAAGAGACAAATCAAATTTCATACCTTTTCTTGTTTTCCCTGCAGACAAGAGAAGGGTCAAATAGTTAGTCAGTGAGCACACAGTATGCACAATCAGCTACGCAGAGAGTTTAATGAACACAACCACCACTGGCACACTGACAACATGCCTTGGTTAGACCAAGGCATCTATACAAAGAGATTAACCAGACATAATAGGAAATAAACAACGGCACACTGACGATTTATCTGTAGCATTCAGTGCAGGCATTACTCAACGTTCTGAATCAAACAGCATTTCCCCAACCAGATTACACTGTTGAAACCCAGTTGCAGATGAATTATATATTGCACAAAAGAAAAGGCTTATTGCTTCCCATTTGGTCACAAAACTCTGCAGAATTGTTCCAGACTCTTCAGACATTCCAGATCAATTTCATGTACATTGCTGCAGTCAACTCTGGGATAAACATGATTGGGACATTGCTAAAAGAAAAGTGGTGTACTTTGATTTCCTTTAAAATCTTTTGTTTTGAGTTAAAAATACATTGGATCAAGGGTGGTTGGGGCAGTTTAACTGGAGGCGAAAGTCATGGTGAAATCTCAAGGACTATAGCGGGCTAGGCTGGGCAAGTCAAGATCCCACATGTGGAGCAGCTATGTTAATACGGCAAATATATGTTAATATCTATCCAATCACATTGGTAAGTTTTGTTAATGTTGCTTTTAAGGATAATAGAGAGGTGGATGTGGCTGCAAGGGGATCAGGATTGGGAACTGAATATCCAAGGATATACATACTATTGAAAAGATAGGCAGGTGGGCCGAGGGGGTGGGGTTGCCTTATTAGTGAGAAATGAAATTAAATCAATAGGAAGAAACGAAGTAGGGTCAGATGGTGTAGAATCTGTGTGGGTAGAATTGAGGAACCGCAAAGGTGAAAAAACCATAGCTGGAGTCGTGTACAGGCCTCCTAACAGTAGTCAGGAGCTGGGGCGCAAGATACACCAGGAGATAGAAAAGGTGTATAAGAAAGGCAAAGTCACAGTGATCACGGGGGATTTCAATATGCAGGTGGACTAGGAAAATCATGTTGGTAGTGGATTGCAAGAAAAGGAATTTGTGAAATGTCTACGAGATGGCTTTTTGGAGGAGCTCGTGGTGGAGCCCACCAGGGAACAGGCAATACTGGATTTAGTGTTGTGCAATGAGGCAGGCTTGATAAGGGAGCTTAAGGTAAAGGAATCCTTAGGAGGCAGTGGGTCACTAGGCTTGACTTTACCTTTCTCAGCAGGGGTCAGCAGGCTCTGGAGGGTTGTGGCCATTAGTGTCCCCACTGAGAACAAACACACCCTCTCCTCACTCCCTGAACACAGACATCTAGACTAACTCTGCTTCTGGAATGACAAGCCATCATCAGTTTCTGTCAGCATTTCACAAAATACTGCATGTAATTTAACACCTCTGCTAAGTCAAAAGGAAATACTTGTGGCATTTCACATTTCAGGCAGTGATTTGTGGGAGTTGAGGAGGTTCATGTTTTAGGAGTCTCCAAGGTGCCAGGGTGGGCAGCAGCTACAGAGCATCTTGAGAAGGAGGGTCAGTAAATCCAGCTGGTGTGGAAGGAGCAGCACAGGTAGGAGAAGGGAGGAGGAGAGAGGAGGTCCAACTGAAAGAGCAGGAGTTGGAGGCAGCCATGCAGGGGAGGGTATGCACCAGATGTCATAGGGATTACTGAGACATGGCTACTGGAAAATCAGGACTAGAAACTAAGCATTGCAGGGCACAGCATATTTTGAAAATATATGGAAAACAGGGTGGTGGAGCAACTCAACTCATTTTAGATAATATAATGATGGTAGTCTTCCAAATAGATAAGAGGTTTAAGCTACAAAATGATTCATCAAACTGTAGGCAACCAAATCATAGGCAAATTGAATAAAGACCACAGAACATTAATCATATGGGTGTCTAACTACCTCAATATTAGTTGGATAGCCAGGGTAGGTAAGGGTGACAAAGAACTGCTGTCTAACTCAATACATAAAAAGCTCAATGAGGTAATGTTATAAAGGCTGTAAGGGTCCGAAAGGGTTAATAATGAAGAATACCTTAAGCACGACCTACATTGTACTGACTTCTGGGTAGAACAGCTTAGAATCTTGATAATCCAGGTCCCCCTCATAGCCATTGTTATAAAGACTATCAGAGCAATGTTTCCTGGGACTAACTGCTTAACATGGGATAACTGCTTCCTGTTGAAACAGCCTTTTCTACTTAGACCAAAAACTGGATTTTCTCTTCCACACTACACTGACCAGGGCCTATCCATCCCTGCACAAAAGGATGGTGGCAACAAAGCTATCCCATGGTCGAGTTCAGAATCAAGATTAATTGCACATTTAAAATGGTGAGCAGGATTGGTCATAGAATGGAGGAGATTCACTACTGAATTAATGGGGGGGGGACCAGAGCAGATAAAGAGAAACAGGAAAACATCTAAGTAGTAGTGATCATAGCATGACGCACCTTAAGATGATGATACAGAAGGACATAACTATGCTGAAAATTAAGCTAATAAGATGGGAGAACTTTTTAATTTGAGGGGCGGAGAATAGATCACTTGTGAAAATAAAATGGACACCAATATTAACAACTAACAAGTTGAACAACAATGGGAAACATTTAAAATGTTGTTCAATAGAGAACAGACAAAATAAGTTCCACTAAGAGGAATACAGGCATAAAGGATCAACTGAAGATTAGAAAAGAGGTAATAACTGCTTAGATAGCAAAGCAGTGCTGGACGAGAGAGAAATCAAAGAGATCCAGAGAAGGTTAACAAAAATTAGGAAGGCAAGGAAAAACAGTGAAATTAAATTATCAAGGAACATGGAACAACACATTGATAAAGGATGACTGTGAGGAAAATACGACCATTAAGGGAGTGTCAATCTCTTAATGTTGTGACATGGGTTAACAAAACCTTTTAAAAAACCAAGCACTTGGCTTCATCTCTAACAGAATTGAACAGAAATTGGACAGAGTTGAAAAGTGGGGAAGTATGCTCAATCCAAAATGATGCTTAGGTTCGACCACATTTAAATATTGTGTGCAGTTCTCATCATTATTTTATCAGAAGCATACACAGAGAGAGGAAGTTAGCCAGTGATATAAAAGGAGATTGCAAGAGTTTTTTTAATATATATCTAAAAGGTAATTAAGAGTCAAGAGTGGACACTGGGCCACTGAAAGATAAGGCTGGAGAAGTAGTAATGGGGAACAAAGAAATGCCGGAGGACTTGAATAGGTACTTTGTGTCAGTTTTCACAGCGAAAAACACCAGCAGCATAGCAGAACTTCAAGAAAGTCAGGGGGCAGAGGTGAGTGTAGTGGCCATCACTAAAGAGAAGGTGCTGAGAAGCTGAGAGGTCTGAAGGTGGGTAAATCACCCAGACCAGAAGGATTATACCCCAGAATTCTGAAGGAAATAACTGAGGAGATTTTGGAGGAATTGGTGATCTTTCAGGGACCACTGGAGCCAGGGAGGATGCCAGACAATTGGAAAATAGCTAATGTAACATCCCTGTTTAAGAAGGGAGGGAGGCGGGAGGCAGAAGGCAGGAAATTATAAATTGGTTAGCTTGACCTCAGTCATTGGTAAGATTTTTGAGTCCATTATTAAGGACAAGATTGTGGAGTACTTGGAAGTGCAGCTAAAATAAGGCTGAGTCAGCACAGCTCTGTCAAGGGGAAGTCATGCCTGACAAATCCGTTAAAATTCTTAAGGAGATAAGGAGCAGGTTTGACAAAGGAGAACCCATGGATGTAATCTCTTTGAATTTCCAGAAGGTCTTTGACAAGGTGTCACATAAAAGGCTGCCAAATAAGTTAAGAGCCCATGATGTTAGGGGCAAGGTACTGGCTGGCATGAATTGAGAATTGGCTGACAGAAGGCAGGCAGTAGGGATAAATGGCCCTTTTTCAGGATGGCAGCCAGTGACTAGTGGAGTTCCACAGGGTCCGTATTGGGACCACAACTATTCATGTTATACATTAATGATCTGGGAGAGGCAGCAGAAGGACTTGGACAGACTAGGAGAGTGGAAAAGGAAGTGACAGATGGAATATAATGTGCAAATCTGGAACTCACTGCCTGTAAGGGTGGTAGAGGCAGAAACCCTCATAACATTTAAGAAGTATTTAGATGTGCATTTGCAATGCCGAGGCACACAAGACCATGAGCCAAGTACTGGAAAATGGGATTCAAATAGTTAGGTGGTTGCTTTTGACTAGCACTTATGCGATGGGCCAAAGGGCCTTTTTCTATGCTTTAGATCCCTATGTCTCTACAGATCTCCTCCCTGACAACATGAAGATTAAGGGCTAACCGAGTAGAAAGCAAGATTTTGGTGGAGTGGATCCAGAGGAAATGTGTCCTCTTGTGAGAAATAGCATAACTGGATGACATCAATATTAGACACTCATCATGAAATCCAAACAGGAACAGGAAAAATTCCTTTACATGAACGGTGAGAATGTGGAATCATTCCCACAATGAATGCATGAACAGAATGGCACAGATACATTTAACAGGCACCTAGACAAATATATGAGGAAGCAGGAAATAGAAAGTTATGATGGTAGATTTAGAGGAGAAAGCATGGCAGGAAGTTTGAGTGGACAGAAAAGTCAGCATGACGTGGGTAGGCCAAATGACCTTTGCAATGGGGTCTGTCAAAGAACAAACACTCAAATATCTAACAAATGAGTGCTTCACAGCTGTAAACCAACCTGCTGACTGCATCGAACACTTCCTAGTGCTGTCTTAGATGTCTGCGAGCTACAGTTTTATGACTTTTGAAAAATAAATTACGAATTACAAAACCACCCAATCAAAAGTGCGCTGTATTATTAAAACCAGAGACTGAAATTTCACCTTATGGTATAGATTTAAGACACACTGAACAGAGAGAAAATGGCTTTTGTTTCTCACAGATTTGGATCAACAATTGCTTTGATGTGCCAGTATTTTGTAAAAGAAAGGTTGCAAGATATCACATTATCATAATAAGTTAAAATCTGAAAAAAAAAACACGCACCGCCACAGTGACTGGTAATGTCATGCACCCTGCCACAACGACCGGTAACGTCACGCACCCCGCCACAACGATTGGTAACGTCACGCACCCCGCCACAGCGACCGGTAACGTCACGCACCCCGCCACAGTGACCGGTAACATCACACAGCGACCGGTAACATCACACACCGCCACAGCGACCGGTAACATCACACACTGCCACAGCGACTGGTAACATCACACAGCGACCGGTAACATCACACACTGCCACAGCCACCGGTAACATCACACACTGCCACAGTGACTGGTAACATCACACAGCGACCGGTAACATCACACACTGCCACAGCCACCGGTAACATCACACACTGCCACAGCGACTGGTAACATCACACAGCGACCGGTAATATCACACACCGCCACAGCAACTGGTAACGTCACTCACCCCGCCACAGCAACCGGTAACATCACACACCACCACAGCAACCGGTAACATACACACCGCCACAGTGACCTGTAACATCACATACCGCCACAGCAACCGGTAACATCACATACCGCCACAGCAACCGGTAACATCACACACCGCCACAGCAACCGGTAACATACACACCGCCACAGTGACCGATAACGTCACACACCGCACAGCAACCGGTAACATTACATACTGCCACAGTGACTGGTAACATCATGCGCACCGCACAATGATCACTGATATCACAAACCGCGGAGATCAGTAACACTGCACACTGCACAACGACCAATATCACACACGGCACCAATTCCAGTCCTATTAGACATTGCAGCGAGATCAACAATAATCACAACTACACAGAAACCAGAAACATCTCACATTGAGCAGAGTTCATTGGAAAATGTTCAATATTACACTGAATGGAAAGATAATGCGTAGTACCTACCTTTGTGCCCTTGTGCCCTCCTAATATCAAAATCCTTGACAGCTGTTGTCAGGTTGTGAGGTAGAATGTTGCTGCAGCTGTTACTCTGAACCAGCGGTGAATGAGACTGCAGGACAAATAGAAAAGGTGCAACATTTCACCAAAGTAACTGACTTTTCCAAAAAGCTGCACTGAAATGGGATCTGTTCAAGGACCACTGTAGCCCCTTTATTAACTTAAATAGAGTCGGAAACTAGACCGGTATTTCTGGATATGGTTTTGAATAAATTCAGTTGAGATATGTTGGATTCAGAGCAACAAGAACATATCTATTGCTTACTCCTTTCATTAATGATTCTCACAAAACTGTACGCCCATTGGACTTCACACTGCATACTCCCCTCTGTAAAAACTTCACTTGGAAACTGTAAAATGACAACACATTTCAAATATATATTACTGCAGTAATCACTCAGTCAATGTAAAATGGGCAGTCTGGAGTTATACTATAGTATGTGCTGGTCACAGGAAGGAAGTGACTAATGGATTGGAAACAGATCAGAGAAGGTTTACTAGACCTGGTGTGAGCAGATTGCCTTATGAGGTTACGCTAGACAAGCCAGGTCTGTACCCTCTGGAATTTAGAAGAATCAAAGGTGGCTTAATTGAAACATAAAAGATCCCAAGGGGAGATAGCAAGAACTGCAGATGCTGGAGATTCTGAGTTAACAAGGTGTACAGCTGGATGAACACAGCAGGCCAAGCAGCATCAGAGGAGCAGGAAGGCTGAC